TAATTTTAATTTTTTGAAAATGTATAATTAAGAATATAATGATATAATTAATATAATTAAGAAGATAATTTTAAAATAAATTTATATTTATACAGATATTATTGGGATTTTTTAATGACGTTTACATTCCTGTACATGTTCGTTACAATACCATATATTTTGGCATTTCATAGAATAGCTAAAAGTTCTGAACCAAAAATTTGGAATTTAGTATATCCTGCATATATTATTTGCTTATGTGATATTGGATTTAATTTGATAACTGGTTTTGAATCAAAGGATGGTCATGAAATTTTTCTTGATCCAATTTTGATAATTCAGTAATTTGTTTAACTTCTTTAACTTAAATATGCTTTAATTGATGAAATATATTTTTAAAACAAGTATTATTTTTAGACATTACATGAAAGGATATTTTTTTTTTGATCTTTTATCATCGATTCCATATGTTTGGTTTTATCAAGATCGTATTTTACCTCCTGGACCTAATTCAAATTCTTTATTGCTGATTCCTGAATTTTTACCACTTTTAAAAATTATACGTATTTTTACATTACGTCACTACATTGGACAAATACTTCACACAGTAAGAAATAAATATAAAAATTTAAAAATATAAAAAAAAAATAACTTAAACTTATTAAGATATAAACATATCTTCTCTTTAGTATTTTATAATTTCACACGCTCTCGAAAAAATTATATGGTTATTAATTTTGATATTATTATTATTTCATTGGAGTAGTTGTATAACAATCCTTTTTCCATTTATCATAGCATATATAAATAATGAAACTTTAAAAGTACGTATTATATTTAAATTTTCTTATCTTACGTTTATTTTATCTTTCAAATTAATGATTTGCTATAAAGGTATAAATATTACAGGATTCAGATATGTATTTAATTACTTCCAAATTGTATGAGAAATCTAACTCTGATATTTATTTAATGTATCTTCATATTGGCATGAGTAATATTATGGCATCAACTTGTTTAGAATTTTATTCCTTGGGTAAAATGGATACAATAACACGTTGTATTTTACTATTGTTTGGAAAAGGATGTATAATTTATTTTTTAGGTAATTATTATTATTTTTTTTGATATAATAATTAATTATTATTAAAAATAATTTTTTAATTTTTCATATTATGATAGTTATAATCTTACAACTGATTGAATCAGCTGCAGAAGCAGAATTAAAGTATCAACAAGTTATACATCAAGTGAAAGAATATATTCATCAAAAGAATTTCCAGAAAATCTTAAAAAAAGACTTATTGATTATTACGAATATCGTTTTCAAGGCAGTTACTTTAAAGAAAATGCAATATATCGTACTTTATCAAGTTAATACTTAATTTGGATAGAAATTTTGTATCAACAATTTGAATATATCTGTAAATATATACTTTTATATTTAGATCTTTTAAATCAAGAAATTATGATGCACAGTACCCGTGGACTGTTAGATACAGCAATCATTTTGCAACATTTGCCACGCAACATCATTGGAAATTTAATGGGTAAAATAAAAATATGTTTTTATTTTGAAAGATTTTTTATTTTCAATGTTATATTTTTATAGAAATTTTAAAACCGGTCATTTATCTCAATGAAGATATCATATATAAAAGTAAAACTGAAGGTGACTGTATGTTCTTTATAGTTAGTGGAACTGTTGCTCTTATTACGTTCTCTGGAAAAGAAGTATGCAAATTTATTTTAAATTAATATATGTTATAAAAATAATAAAAATTAATAATTTCTTCCTAAGATATGTCATGAAAAAGATGGAGGTTATTTTGGTGAAGCAGCTATAATATTTCCAGATCGAAAAAGATTAGAAACTGCAATCGCACTAGAAGTATGTGAATTAGTTCGTTTAGATCGCCGTGATTTTAAACGTATGTTTCCTATAACATCAATTCTTTATAAAAGATTGGAAAATGTTGCTAAAATCAGATATGAAAAAATTAATAAACTTGAGAAAATAGATATAGTAATTGATAAGGAAAATGAAGATAATGATTTTATCTTTAATAGAATGATTAATGAAGTTGAGGATGACAATAAAGCAAATTGATATAATAAATTAAAATTATTAATATTTAATTTTATACAACAATAATTTCAAAATTAAAAAAAACATTATTGTAATTCGTAATTCATAATGAATTGTAATTCGAAAGTATATATGTTTTCATATGCTTGAATATCTCATTCATATTGTACGCTGTCATTGTACGTTCATTAGTTGTATGCGTTCAATTTATCAATTTTTTTCGGATTTATTGTATCCGAGAAAAAATATATTGTATCTAAGAAGTTATGCAATGTAATTGATTTAATATTAAGATAATGGTTTATATTATAAGTAGTTTAATTATTTTTTAATTTTAATTTTTAATTGATTTATTCCGAACAGATGTTAAGTAAATAGTTACAATTGTTATAATTATGTTATAATATTGATATTAATTTATTATATTTTACTGAATTATATGTTATTTAAAATATTTGCATGAATCGAATTAAAATCAATATTATTATAATTAAAATTATAAGGTTAAGTTTAGAAATTTGATATGTCGTAAGTACACGTGGCCAAACACATGTGTCATTTTATTTAATTAATAAGTATTATAATTAATTAATAAGTCATTAATTATATTTTTAATTTAAAAATTTTAGTTTTGTTTTTTATTTAGTGCTACAAACATGGTTGAATTGAAATGGGAAGAAAAATATGAACTTATCACAAGAAACTTAGCTGAGTGGCTTGGTGATGAAAAACTTAAAAGTATTCTCAAACAACGAGATTTGAAGCTTTATTGGGGTACTGCTACAACTGGTAGACCTCATATTGGCTATTTTACACCAATGTCCAAGATAGCAGATTTCTTAAAATCTGGTGCAGAAGTTACTATATTATTTGCTGATCTTCATGCTTATTTGGATAATATGAAAGCACCATGGGAACTTTTAGAATTACGTACCCAATATTATGAAAAAGTCATTAAAGCTATGCTTAGGTCTATTGATGTACCTTTGGAAAAGTTAAAATTTGTTAAAGGAACTGATTATCAATTATCTAAGTAAATAATTATATATAATCAGATATAAACAAAAAATTGATAGGATATATGCTATATCAATTACTTTTTATTCTAGGGAATATACGTTAGATGTATATCGTTTAAGTTCTATTGTAACTGAACATGATGCAAAAAAAGCAGGTGCTGAAGTAGTTAAACAAGTTATAAATCCTTTGCTTTCTGGATTATTATATCCAGGTTTACAAGCTTTGGATGAACAATATCTTAAAGTTGATGCTCAATTTGGTGGAATAGATCAAAGAAAGATTTTCACTTTTTCAGAAAAATATTTACCATTACTTGGTTATGAAAAACGTATTCATTTAATGAATCCAATGAGTATGTGTGTAAAAACAAATCAAATACAAAAATTAATTTTTAAAATTATAAATTATAAACACAAAATTTTGTTTCAGTTCCTGGATTAGCAGGATCAAAAATGTCTTCTTCTGAAGAAGATTCAAAGATTGATTTATTAGATAATCCCACAGCTGTTAAAAAAAAGTTAAAAAAAGCATTTTGTGAACCTGGTAACATTAGTGATAATGGAGTACTTTCATTTGCTAAACATGTAATATATCCTTTATTGAAAGAAGGAGAATCTTTTAATATATATAGAACAACTGAATTTGGTATATTTCATTTTTTATTTTTAATATTTTTAATAAATATAAATATATACAATATATCTTTTTTTAGGTGGAGATATATCATTTGATACATATGATGATTTAGAAAATGCATTCGCTAAGGAAGAAATACATCCTGGAGATTTAAAAAATGCAGTTGAGATTTATATCAATAAACTTTTAGATCCAATTAGAAAAGAATTTGAAGTAGATTCAAAATTAAAAAATTTAGCGAATAAAGCATATCCTCCACAAAAGCCAAGTAATATTTTTTTCATATAAAACAAATATTGAGCAAATTCAAATGATAATATAACACTTATGTTAAATATTTAGAAATTATTGAGGAATTAACACCGGCTCGATTAGATATCAGAGTTGGCAAAATAATTGAAGTATCAAAACATTCTGATGCTGATTCACTTTATGTAGAAAAAATTGATCTTGGAGAAGCTACTGGACCTCGTACAATAGTTAGTGGACTTGTAAATTATGTACCATTAGAACAAATGAAAGATAGAATGGTAGTCGTCCTTGCAAACTTGAAACCAGCAAATTTAAGAGGTGTTCAATCCCATGGAATGGTTTTATGTGCTTCAGTGTATGTTTTGATTTGATTTATAAATTTATATGTATTAATTTATATGTTACATTAAGTAATCTTTAAATTATTAACAATATAGGGATGAACCAGTGAGACGAGTTGAACCATTAAGACCTCCATTAGATAGCAAGCCAGGTGAAAAAGTAATTGTGGATGGATATGAAGACGGATCACCAGATGATGTACTTAACCCGAAGAAAAAAATTTGGGAAAAATTACAAGTATGCTTTTTTATATAGTAAAATAAAAGAAGTTATATATTTACAAGTTACTATTAAATTAAATTTTTTATAGGTTGATCTTGTAGTAAACGGTAATGGGGAGGCATCCTGGAGTGGAAATCTTTTATTTACTGTCAATGGTGGCAAACTTACAGCTGATAGTCTTAAAAATGTAGCGATTAAATAATAATGCTTCAGATATCTAGGTATTCATGTATTTTTATTTTTGCAAAAATTGATAAAATCTGATTTATATTGAGAAGTGCTTTATATTTAAAACTGCCGTTTTTTATTTAATTGCTTGCATTACTATTTTATATTTTTGATGTAAGTATATAATATATAAAAATAGATAAGAAATGTATCTACAAGGAATTTAAAATTTTAAATATTATTTATCCTACTCTTATATTTCTCGTTATATTTTTCAAAATATATAAAATATATTTATGAAATTAATTTGAAATGAATTAAAGCAAATTGAATTTTGACATTTGATCATATAATAGTCGATGAAATATGTGGTATCGTATTTCTGTCTTTATAAAAGATTCGTATACAAGGAAATTGTAATTTTAGATTATGGGAATTTTGTGCTTTTAATTCTGAGCTAATACAAGTTTTTAATACTTTTTGTTTTTTTTTTTGCATTAGCCAAGACGTAGCAGAGCATAACATTAATTCCTTTCTTAGTGAACTATTACTACAGCCATATAATAAAGGATTTATTGCCGCATTAATTAATACTAAATATCTGCTAATATACCTGTAACAATTGTTTATTTGTTATATATTACATATATATTGGAAAAATATTTTTATTAATTTTTTAGAAATATTTACCATAATGGATATATAGCTTCTGCTTGTCCTGTTTTAGGTGTTTCTTTCAATAATTGTGCTCTACGAATTATTAATATGGTAAATGGTACACGGCATATAATGAATGCTATAACTATAAGAGCCAATATTTGTGCTACTTTTCCTTTATATTTTACCACAATTGGATATTTACTTTTTAGAGCTTGTGATTCATAACGGTCTAACTAAAATTCGATATTTTATAGATTATATTTATATTTTTATATTATTTATAAGATTAAATATTTTATCATTTTAATACTTTGATAAGAATAGCTGTGTAACATATTGCCATGATAGTCAATGGTGCCCAAACACTTAAACCAGCAAAAATATGCCAATAAGGATAAATAAGCACAGTATCTTCAGTGCAATAAGTTTCTAAATAATTTTTCCATTGTCTTTCATAATAATGACGAAAATAAATTAAAGGAATGGCAACAGATATTCCAAAAATCCAAGTAGAGAAAAGTAAAATATACATCATCCTGATAATAAAATCCACGATAAAAAAATGTAAAATGTATATTATTTATTATATAATGATTTTTATGTTTTTAATATTTTATTTTATCACCTTTTTGTTAATTTTCCCGAGCAATTAAGGACAATAGCAGAAACACGATCATAACTAATTGTACTCAAATTAAAAACTGCAACTAATGTTAAGGCATGCACCAATGATCCATCCAATCGACAACCAATTTCTCCCAAAATATAATTTTGAAATAGATCGACGCAAAGAAACATCCATGGACATATTAAACATGTACCTAAATCCGCGATACACATATTCACAATTAAGAGATTAGTTGTAGTATGTAAAGATTTTTCTTTGAGTATCACATAGATTAATCCACCATTAGCAAAAGATCCAATGATGATAATTGGTAAAATGCTGATGATTTTTACAATTATTTCCCACGTAGGACGTATTTCCCAAATTTCTCTGGGAAACATATACTTACTAGTGTCAACATTTTCCCACTAAGAATTTATATATTTGTCAGTTATATTAATAGTGAATATAATAACTAATTGATATTTTAAACAAAGTCATACTTCCAAATTAGCAGATGCGAAATCATAATTATTCTCTATATGATAATTCCACTGTATATCTAACATAAAACTTTTATTCCACAATTTAAAAAACCCATGTCGTTTATTTTAATAAGGCACAAGAACGACATGAATTCTAATAGAGTACTAAAGGCTTAATCATAATTGCAAGAGACTTAATCTAAATGCAACAGATGGTACATTATAACATGTAGAACAAGCTTGTTATTCAGCACTTTAGTAAAATTTGAAACATGAGACTTTGGTTAAAAGTAATTGGTCAATTCTGGAAATACTTTTAAAAGAATATTTTTTTTATGAAAAATAATGATGATTTATATTTTAATTTATAAGCATATTTTATTTGGTGAAAATGTATATGAATACACATGAATTTCATATAAATTTGTATAATTTGTATAATGATGTGCGGTAGCTTTTTTTTATCTATATAAATTAATTAGATTTTACTTATGTACAAGAATGTACATTTGGCACATTTAAATAAAAATATTTTTGCATAATATTTTACGTAGCTGTGATCTATAATATCATATATTTATTATTTATATACTTTTTATTAAACATTTTATATAATTTGTACTTAGTAGATTATTTTCTAGTCAGTCATAAAATTATCTAAACAATTTTTCATAATTTTTTTTTAATGTACGAAAAATATATAAAAGTTATATTAATAGTACGATTTAATTATGCAAATATTTAATTTCAATGGTACTAAATGTTATTTTTTTAAGAGATTAAAAATAATTGAAATTATTAATCATTTATATACTTTTTTACGAATACATCTATATTTTTTATATTATAAATTTTTAACACCATTGGAACTCTTAGAATTAATTCTAATATTAATCTTTGAAAAAGATTTTTGTTAGATTTTTATTTTTTTATAGCTAAAATAAAGTAATATTTTGTAATTCATTTTATTATATTACTATTATCTTATATTACTATTAAATAACTAAGAAAGTAAAAATTAAGAAAGATATGAAGTATTGAAATTCACAACATAGTTGTAACTAATAATGTAACTCAATTGTTAAAATAGATCATAAATTAAATAATATAGATTTTTTTACTTTAATATATTAAATAGGCATAATAAAACTATCTCTGATACAATTGCTATTCATATTTCACATATTCTATCCGCACAATACCATTGAAGATATACAAATTTGTAGTATGTATTATTTGTATTATTTACAAATAATTACAAATAATACAAATATTTGTATATTTGTATTATTTACAAACGAATACTATTCATGTCTAGTCACAGCAGCAATTCATATTAGAATGTCATTTGTTCATAAAAACTAAAATTTTATAACATTTAATGCATGAATATAAATCCTGCTGATAGTCTTTGAACACTATGGAAAATAGGGATTCATTCATCATCATCATTTTCCATTATATTAAACAATATTAAACTACAATTTATAACAAACATATGACTAGCTTTTATAGTCTCATTCTGTATCATCAGCTTCTGATGATTGCGCGACGGGTAATGGTGACGGAATAACTAGTTCATCATCTTCAACTTCTTCTTCAGCAAGCAAAAAATCTTCTCCTTCATGAATTTCTTCTTCTCTTGCTGGTTCTGGCGGAGCTAATACGTCTTGACCATGTTGTTTTAAATGATCTTTTAATGCAAATGCTCTGCCATAGGATGCACCACAAATATAACAACTGAACTTTAAATTATTATCTTTTTTATGAGTTTGTATATGAGCACGCGCGGCATATAAAGAAGCAAAAGGACGGGAACATTCAGTGCATCGAAATGGTTTAGTGTGACTATTTTTGTGCCCTGCTAATTGAACACGTGTTTTAAAAGTTTTTGGGCAATATGGGCATGTATAAGCACGTTCTTCTCCGTGTGTAAGCAAATGATGATTATATACGGATGAAGCCTTAAATCTTTTACCACAATGTTGGCATCCATATGGTCTAACTCCAGTGTGAGTCCTCATATGTAAAGTCAGACAATAAGATACACGAAAAGTTTTACCGCAAACCTAAGAGATAGTAGATTATTTTTATAATAGAAATCATATTATTTTTAATGTACTTACCTCACATGCATGTGGCTTTTCTCCAGTATGGATGCGTTCGTGTTTTACTTTCTCATGAGGTCTTGTAAATCTGCGACCACAGTGTTGGCATTGATAAGGCTTTTGATTTTCTGCAGGTTCAGCAGTTGTAGCAGTCTCTGTAGTAGGTGGTGTTGGTGAATGTGGTTGACTTAGTTCTGTATGTACTGCGGCATGCATTGCTAAACTATCAGCAGAATCAAATTTTCTGTTGCATACTGTACAAGTAACAGAGTCACCAGAATGTAATGCCATATGTGCTTCCTTGTATGATTCTGCTAATGTTTTACCTAAATAATTATAATAATTATATAATAATATATAAATAAATATAAGTATATTTTAAAATAAAAAATTTAATTATGTTTTTAAATTTAGTATTCGAAACATTACCACATTCAGGACATGTGAATGTTGCACTAGGTGTTCCTTCAGGTGCATCAACATGCCTTGCTCTGACTGGCGCGTGCATTCGAGAATGCAAACGCAAACTTTTATGTGAACAAAATTCTGTACCACAAGTTTCACATATGAAAGTTTTTTGATTCGGATCAGGTTCACCTTCATGTACTTTTGCATGTAATTGTAATGCTTTCGGTGTTGCAAAAGTTTGGTCACAACTATCGCAACGATTATTGCCATGGAGACATGCATGAACTCGAAAGTTTCCTAATTTAGAGAACTGCTGAAGGCACTGATTACATCTATACATTCTCATTGGTGTTGCAGCCAATCTTTTTTCTCGTACCTGTAATCAATGTATATGAAAAAATATCAAGATTAATTATAATAAATAGACAAATAGACACTTTTCATACTTTCACTCCTTCTACATTGGAAAAAAATTTTTCAATCATTGGTGCTTTAGTAGATTGAAGTGATGTTTGTGCTGGAGTTCTATCCCAGAATCTTTCTATTTGTACTACTTTTCTTGTATATAATCTTCCTTCACTATCCACACATTCTTCTGTACGAAGAGTATTCATACTTTGTCTTTGTCTATTATTGATTACATTTCCTGATTCTGAAGTTAAGGTGTTAGTTGCAGGTACTGTAGGAATATCATCTAATTGATCAGCTATTTCAAGTAGTACTTCTTGTCCATCATGAAATTGTTTTATATGTTCCACAACAGAATTAAAGCTCATGTCACAACTAGTGCAACTGTAAACTGCTTCTGGTTCAATCTATAAAAATTACATTCTTTAATTATATAATTTATTCATTTATATATAAATAATGCTTTTATTATTCATACCTCACAAAGTTCTTGTTTAACATGTAAAAGTCCATCTTCATCTAATTCACCTACATCATTTATATGATCCATATTTATCAAAGCACCAGTATCTCCATCAAGAAGTTCTGAACCATCAGGTAAAATAGTAATTACATTTTTATTTCTATTTTTATCATCTGCCTCTGAGGTGGTTGAAATTGCCACTAATTGATCCTGAGATAAAGATTTTTCTTCTGCTTTGCTTGCAATATTAGGAACTTTTTCTGACATCTTAAATTCCAAAGAATTTTGCTCCATGTGTGTCTCTTCAGTTTCCATCTTTTCTACGACTTTAATATCTCCTGATATTTTCATTAGAAATAATAGTCAAACAAACAGAATTAAGATAGATTAAATTAGCATGTCTACACACCATTTTCATCAACTTGTATGGTTTGAGGCCCACCAACTATCATAATTCCAGTGTCATTTACAGTTGCTAGAAAGCTTTGATCTATTCCTTCAACATTTGTATCCTAAAATTAGAATTATCAAGCAAAAACCAAAGAAAATATAAGTACAAAAATTTTCATTGGATATTAACCATTAGCACTTCTGTATCTACTGGTTGAGATTCCTGTTGAGCATCCTCCTCAGTATCACGTTTTGATTCAGATGATGCCTCTGATTCAACGCTTTGTCCACATCGATCCAAATGTTGAATGAGTGCCATTACAGAGTCAGATCGCTGCGAACAACCAGGACAGTATAGGTTGTCCGTCATGCTTAATAAATGGTACTTTAATGACTGTGGATTGTTAAATGTTTCACCACAGCACATTGGGCAAACAAGATTCAACGAGCCCATTATCTTTTTCGTTTTGGTGCTGATCTCATAGAGGGTCTTTGTTGACCTTAATCTGACCCTCTACTTTTTTTATTAACTTAACTTGATTTTTTTACGTTCGTCTATTTTATTTTCAATTAAAAAACAAAGCCGGCTCCTTATTAAGAACCTAACCTGATGATGAATCACAAAAATCAGTAAAACTCTTCAAATATGTCCAGATATAGAACAATGTCATGTTGTTTCTTCGGAAGACTTGGCTTTCCACAGAATATTTATTTAATTGTAATCAATTATATTACATAAAAATAAACGGCATTTCTTTCGTATAATAATAGCGATAACAAAACTCATTAGAGACGAACTTCAGCGCAAACAAATGCCGCACACAACAATCATGAAGTTAGGGATGTGATAAGTGAATCGCGAAGTCGGCCATTACATGCGAGTTTCGGTATATTAACTATCGAAGTCAAATTCAAGCTTTATTATTTACAACATCATAATTGTTTCATTGCAACACAAATTATTATAATCTTGTTAGATTTCGTTTCTCGAGAGTTTCAAATCATTTATATTATAGTACATACATCAAAACAATTGATAGCAATCAAAAGTGAATTAGATGCTCAATTGACAAAAGGCGCGCGGTACGTTCTGGTTTCACTAGAACAAACTTCGCATTTACGAAACTTCCCGTAATTTATAATCCAATAATATATTACTAAAAAATAAAATTATATTTACAATATTATTACATATTTTGTTATATTAATATTGCACAAAATGTAAAATTTATAATAAATAATTTTATAAATACTAAAAAAAGGTAAAGAATAACAATTAGCTAATACATCTTTCTAAATAACATATATTTTACTTATTTAGCAAAGTATATATACATTGTCTTAATTAATAATTACAATATATATTATCACGTAAATCAATAATAATACCATGCGTTTGAATTTCATGCCATGTTTTTGTTACATGGAATAAAAATAGTCTCTTTTTTTATGTTTTAATCAACATGCTCATGCTGAGCATTACTTTCACGCCATGTATTTTGAATTAATTCTACAAATTGTTGCCACCATCTACTTTGAGATGTAAAGTACAAAGCACATGCAGTAATGAAAATCCATGAAAGAACTAAACAATAATCTGTTCCATTAGAAGGTGTACTAGAAACAGGACCAGAAAAATCCAAGGATGTAACATATAATGATCCATTTGGTTGTAAATTAGTTATTTGTGTTATAAATTTTGCAAAAGTTTCCAATGTGTAAACGGTATAATTAAATTTTGCTACAGGTTTCCCATTATGAACAAGCATTAATGTTGGAACTCCAACAATTCCATATTGAGCATTAAAACTGAAAATATGAAAAATTTAAAAATTATTTAGATTTTTCTAATTATATAAATGTTCATGACCATGTTTATTTCATAATCTTACTTTTGATATTTAATAGCATCTAATGCTACTGCTTTAATATGTGGAAATGAACGTGGCAATGCATTAAAATGTGGCGCAGCTTGACTACTGAATATACTCCATCTGGCATAAAATAATACTATTACACAAGTTCCTGGTAAAAGTCTGCCTTCTTTATCATTTCTACTCTTATTTGATGGTCCAGGTTCTAAGATTAATAATTTCATTAATCTGGTTGCATTAACAATCTGAAATTTATATTTATGTAATATAATTTTTTTTATATTTTATATTTAATATTTTCAAATATTTTATTATTTTACTTCTACTGGTCCATAGACTTTATCTGTTAAACAATTGACTTTAGTCACATTAGAAGACGAATTAGTTGCTGTCACATTTGCTTCAATAATTTTATTTTCTTCTTCATATTTTACATCTTCTGAATTAGATTCAGGTTTTTGATCAGAGTTCTTAAATGAGATTACTTCTATCACTTCACATTCACCCATTCGTCCGAAAACACCTATTACATGAACTACACAAATAAGAGAAATTGAAATTGCTTTATTAACAAATTGCAACGAAAGATATTAATGTCTCACCTAAAACTATGATAAATAAACAGAAGTTCTTTCTAGAAAAAAACATTTTATGTACATAACCTAGAAAACTGCTTATGTTTTTATCAGAAATTTGAAAACGATTAAATTCACAAAAACTTGAACGTTTTTAATATATAACGTACAATATTTAACGAATAATCATAATTGCAGTATAATTCATAATGTTATACACATACCAAGCGAATTGATGCATCATTTTTATTTTCATTCTCAATTAAGAAATAATATGTATAGGAATACCGTGACCAACTGTTTGAGGTCGCATCAGTCGCATATTCTGCAATTCATCTATATCTTATTCCTCACATAAAATATAATATGCAATCTGTTTTTACATATATTATTTTTAATTATTTTTATATATATATATATATATATATATATATATATTATT